GGTCCGGCGAGCTCTGACTGAGCTAAGGAGATAATTTCGGTGACTCGATTTCCTATGTCGCGCTAATTAAAACGGAACCGGAAGCGCGGCGATTCCGTGCTTCTCAACTGGCAACGAAACTTTTTGTTCGTACTCGTTGAACTGGGAATTTGAATAGAGAGATAGGGAGACGACACAGTTTTAGGAAGGAACTATTGCATAAATATTGATACCTAATGTAAAATGGGATATAAGATGATGATACTAATAAATGACCTGGTACCTGTGGTTGAGCTTTTTTCAGGGGAACGTAGGAAATGAGGTTCTTGAAAGTGAAATTGTTTATCGTAGGAACGATTTATTTCATGGTTGGCTGTACTTTGTTAATTGAAGGAGAATGCTAATGCGATTTCATTGAGAACCGACGATCGCCAGCGATCTTTAAGCCGACGATGTATTTTTGGAACCGTCTCATTTCCGCTTTCGTCACCTGTAACAATAACAGCTGAGCAAGCACGCGTTAAGCCGGAAACGTTGTCTAATAACGGCTGCGAAACGCTAGAAGAATCGACGTAATGGATTATTCCGTTAATCACGCCTTTCGTGCATCAAATACTTCAGAGATAACTCATTTTCCTATCTACATCCATCAGAGTCGCCCAAAAAATTCCCAAACAATGTTCATTAACCATTATATACTGCATTAATACGTGAAATATCGAAGAAAAATACCTTTGGTCCCTAATTTATATGTGATTGCTTGATAAATTCATTTTAAATAGTCTTGTCCACATCTAATTAGAAGGTACAGAATATTTCAAGTGAGAAACTTTCGGGTGCAAAGGGTTAATATCCACGGCAACACAAATATCGACTCGGATTCACGGGTAAATATTAAACTCGATCCCACCCTCGACTCGTAACGATATCAATGATTTAAGGGGAGTCTCAAAGACTCCCGGAATCACGGGGAACTAGCGAGGTTTCCCAAACAACGTTCATAAAATTCAGTGCAAGTCCAATTGCCTCATTCCATGGATCTAGTGTGAAAATCTGTTTGCCATGCTTCAAAAACTGCTCACCGACGACGGGTTTAACACTAAAACTACCGAGCACTTCACTTGACTTTTGAAAATTTCGCTACAGAAACTCCAAGAGTGCATCTGTTCAGACTTCAATTGATTTACAATTGAATTTGCGTAGTGCCAAATGAATTTCTTGAATAATTTCTCAGAGAAACATTCGTTACCTTTCTAATAATTGCAAACAGAAGACATCAGGCATGGGTGATTTGACCCCTCTGGTAGTTTTAGCGTTAATATCGACTCGGATTCGCGGGTAAATATTAAACTCGGTACCACCCTCGACTCGTAACGATATCAATGATTTAAGGGGAGCCTCAAAGGCTCCCGGAATCACGGGGAACTGGCGAGGTTTCCCTCCGACGGAACAACAAAGCGGCCAGGGGCTGGAGGCTCGCGCGGTATCGAACTTCTTCCCGGTCGATCGGCAACAACAACGAAACTCAATTATCCGCCGCCCCCTCCGGCTATTCTAATAACTGTAACTTTCTTAGCGGCGGGTCTAGATAAGACGTTGCCGGGGCAGAAATTCGCAGCCGGAATTCCGCGGTCGCTCAAATTAACCAATGAATCAGCCGGAAGCGCCGGCGGAATCGTGAACGCGCGCTCCGTACACGCCGCGCGTAAGTTTCGCGAGCAGCCGTGTCATCCGCCGGATCCATTTGCTAACCGCGACCGACTCCATCCTTCAGCGTGGTAAATTCAAATTCGAATTACAAATGGAGCTGATCTTCTTTCGCCGTTCCCGCGAGTTCCCCTCTTGGCAACGCGGCTCGAGCTCTGTGTACGGTAGCTTCGTACGGGACGCCTAAATTATTCGCCGGCATAACAAACTTCGCGAGATCAGAATTAGAACAATTGGATCAAGTTTCACGCCGAAGGATTATAGAAGCTGGCGAAAGAGAAGATTCGAAAAATCGGTCGATATGTGAGACTCGTTTTGGATTTTACTAGTTTGTGAAAGGTAGACTTAATGTAATCATGTTCACTAATTGATTTGAATATTTTCATAGAATATTTTCCTGGATTTTGGTTTCTTAACCCTTTGCGGACGAACGTCGACATTTCGGCGAGATCAAATTTCCGCATTTGGAGAAGTAAGTCGCAAACAAATGATTCGATTACTCGAGCAAGAGATTAGTGTATAACTTCCTTTCTTTCTATTATTTACGGAATCGATATATAATTTAACTTCATCTGCAGGTTTCGTATATTTCGAAGAATCTTCCGCAAAGGGTTAATGTTTCTTCTGTTGAAAATTGCATCGGTGAATCGTTTTTCTTAGCGTTTCTGTCGGGAGTACGAATGTTATAATGGTAGACGGTTTCCAGGGTATTCCATAAAAACGAGATCAACCGAGCAACTTATTTCTTCCATTAGGAGTGGCCGGGATGCAAAGGTAGAATGAAATTCGTATGAAACCTCCATTAAACCGTTTCCCTCGCGGAGTCCGCAGTCCGCTAATTGCGAGCCCTTTATTCTTTCGCCGTGAGAGCTCCATTATACGGGAAAATAAATCGGCGTAATCGAAGTAAGTAATTCGCCGACGTTTCAAGCCCGGTGATTACATTATATTTTCGAAATGATTAATCAGCTCGACGGAAAAGGGATCTCTGACGCGACGAACGGGAATTGCCGCGGCTAATGGCTCGAGGAGAGTATTCTTCGAGGCCAGATACACGCTCGGCCGTCGCTGATGCCGAGTGTAACAGAATGAATCGGATGATCGCCGCGGACGGCGAGCGAAAGATCAATCTGCGCCATCGAGTTCGTTAATTATAATTAAACGCGATAGACCGACGCGGACCGGGACCGTGTCGACGGCGATCCGCTGCGAAACGGTTGCGCAATCGCCGACGCTCTGTCCGCGCCGATACAAATTGAACGCATCAATGAGAGCCTCGTGACTTTCCTGTATCGTAATTAACAGTAGAACTAGCGGATCAGTCGAATGATACATTCTTGTGTTCCTGTATCGGCGATTATTGGAGAATTCTGTGGGATGTTACTGAGGTAAGCGGAATTACTGAGATACCAGATTTTTTAAATATTGAGTTAATAAGATATGAGATTACTAAGGTACGTAATTAGTGAGAATTCAAAATAGTAAGGTACTAAGTTATGAAAGTATCGAAGCACTAAGGTACCAAGTTACTGAGGTATCAAGTTACTAAGGTACCAAAGCACCAAGGTACCAAGTTACTAAGGCATCAAGTTACTAAGATGGTAAGGTACTAAGATACCAAGTTACTAAGATGTCAAGTTACTAAGATACTAAGTTACTAAGGTACCAAATTACTAAGGTACCAAGTTACTAAGGTACCAAGTTACTAAGATACCAAGTTACTAAGGTACCAAATTACGAAGGTACCAAGTTACTAAGGTATCAAGTTACTGTAGCACTAAATTATTAGGGTACCAAGTTAATATAGCATCAAATTACTAGGATACTAAGTTACTAAGGTACCAATTTACTAAGGTATCAAGTCACTATAGCACTAAATTATTAGGGTACCAAGTTAATATAGCATCAAATTACTAGGGTACCAAGTTACTAAGGTACCAATTTACTAAAATGCCAAATGACTATAGCACTAAATTACTAAAACACTAAGTTACTACTAATACGCAAACTTGAAGTACAAAGCAATCAAAATTTCAGTAATCACTCCTCGAGTTTCCATAAACAGATTGAAAGAAGTTAATTGGACTATTCGTTAGTTCTACTGTTAACGCATCGTTTCCAAAAATGAAAACATTCGACGATTCTTTCACGAATATTGACCCTCTCGAACGATGCGAGTTCTCGATTGCTACATTGTACAGAAACGTGCATACTATTGGACTCGATGCAATCTACTCGTAATTTCAAACTTCATGCGATGCAACATATTGTTGGCTAACTAAGTGATCCGTGCACGCAGCTACGCTTATCACTGAATCACAAAAGAGTAAAAACTCAATCACTACAATGCGTTTAACGCGTTGGCTCCGGCGACATTCGAGAAGTTAATTGAATCTCTTTGTTGTGTTCTTCGAATATCCCATAATGTTTGCGCGTTTAATCAATATTGTCATTACGATCACTATTTGCCGACGCAAATGACGCTGTCAAAGATAACGAACGCGTTTCATAAGTTGTCAGCTTGAAATCTCAAGTAATTAAATATTCATTTCCATATTGTTTATTCTCGTTTTCGCGCGGGCTCGTCGTTTCCAGCGGATTCGTTTAAACTTCATGAAACATTCATCGGACTTTTAATGTAATATATATGTAATCCGCGCGCTGTGCGACTTATTTGAATGTCGATTAGACGGGGACTGGACTGCATTAATGCCACGATTGAAATGTATTCAACGATTAACCGTTCGGCCGGGACGCGAGCGTTTCGGAGGTAATATTATTTTAATAACGCCGGCCACCGTTCCCTTTGTTCCTCCTCCGCGACGCCTCGAGTCCAATAATTTGTACAGCTCTGTAAACACGAATAACATTCATCAGCGTGTTCTCGTACTTACCATTTTGAAGAGAATCCGCCGATGCCGGCGCTCGGGTCGTGAAAAAACAAATTACAAATTCTCTCTGTGCGATGTCTACACCTCGTTTCAATGAAATTCTCTGTTTTTTTTTTCTCTCCTTA